GGAGTCGCCACTAGATTATTGGTAGGTTGACTAGAAACCTAATCGAGGTACGGGAGAAATACCATGATTTTACGAACCAGAGATTCTTAGTAAGGGGACTTGGTTACGTTAATAATCCCAAATTGAGATCACCAACGCCCTTTCGGTACCTAACACGATATGATGTGTCTAACATGTCACACGAGTTTCCAATATCTACTCACTAATTCTAACCATCCTAATCGTGGGCTATCAATCAATCAATCAATAATTGGACAATCAATGTCAATCAATCAAAGCAATCCTAAGTTGTCTCTAAAAGGAAGGCAATTCAAAACAATTAATGCCTAATGAAGCCCTAATGGCTTATTTGTTCAATGAATTGTGCTGTTTTAGGGTTTTTTAGGGGTTGAGACCCCTTTTTACCCTTAAACGGACGAATTCTCAATTATGTCACTTGGACACTTCAAAAAATTCAAATTTCACTTTTGATGGGTGGCCATAAGGTTTCTGGGTCATTCCGTGAATTTTTGAAAATTTTCTATTTTGATTCTTTTACTTTTTTTTGAAAAATCTTCTGAGAATTTTGTTTCGTGAAAATTGATTTTTTTTTATTTTCTAAAAATTTTTATAGATTTTTCTGAATTTTTCTCATTTTTGTGGATTTTCTGAGAACTTTTTATGAAATTTCATAAATTTTCTGATTTTTATGAATTTTCTAATTTTTCGAATTTCTAAAAATCTTTATGATTTTCTGAAAATTTTTATTTGATTTTCTAATTTTTTTAGATTTTATGAATTTTTTTTCTGATTTTCGAATTTTTTTATTTTTTTATTTTTTGTTATTTTTTTAAATTTTCCCGCCGAGGGGATTAAACCGGGCTAACCGGTTCAGACCGGTTCGGCTTGGCCGAACCGGCCGGCACTGGCGCCCACCATTGGCCCAGCGAGACATAGCGCCAAAACGGTGTCGTTTCGGGGTTTTCTCTTTGGGGCAATTGGTCAAGCAGCTGGTGGGCACAATTTCAATCTTACTGTTTTCAAGGCCGCCCGTTTGGATCAATCTCTGGCGGCCTTCCGGTGATGTTTTGACCATTCCACTTGATTCAGTGTTGAGTCCATGTTAACCTTTATCAAACTAGCCTGACTAGGTTGCCATCGGACCGTTGCCGGACGGCGAAAAACTGATCTAAACACCCTAAGTCATTACTGACCTAAACAAGCTTCTCCAAGCTTCAAATCTTTATTCTAATCGCCCTAGCCATCTAAACCGATCCAAATCAACATCAGAACATCAATCAAGGTGAGAATCAACTAACTTTAATACTACTTATGTATTAGTACATAATAATTGTTTTGATGATATTTTAATTTCGATCTTTGTTGAAAATTAAATTTAAAATATTTTGGATTTTATAAGCAATGGGCCTAATTCATGAGAAGTACCTAGTTTTATATATATGGTACCCTTATGGCAAAGTTCATATGGATAAATACATTGATTGGCCCTCCCCAACTTTTTCACTTATAAATAAAAATGTTTGGGATAAGAATAGGAAGAGTGTCATAACTTTCGTACGGCGCTCACTTGAGTTCCACATTGGAGTAAAATCGATCATTTGAGTGTCATTCCCAGAAAATCGTCCTACGTAGATTTTTTTATTATTTATCCATTCCAACGTGGATTTTGTTATTTTTGAATTTTTTTATTAATTATCCATGTTAGCACCAACGATGCCACGTAAAACGATCAGTGTCCATGTCGGATTTTCCAGCTAGGTAAATCGCCGATGGCACTTAAGTGATCATTTTTTCAAATTTGTGGCACCCAAGTGAGCGAAAAAAAAGTTATGGCACTTAAGTGAGCGCCATATGAAAGTTATGGCACTTTTAGTGTATTTATTACAAAGGGTAAAGAAGGGAATAGTAGGAGAGGAGTCGAAAGGATGAAGCAATGAGAACATTTTATGTTCCCAAAAGGTAACATGATGAGATATGCAAAGACGATTAGAGATAGGATTCCAATATCGATAGCCTTTGTGCTCAATGCCATATGCAAGGAAACAACATAGACAAGCATGAGGTTCTAACTTCGTGCGTTCATTCAAAAGAAGATGGACAAAATAAGCACTGCCAAAGACTAAAAAAAGACTATAATTAGGAACACCGTCAAACAAGTGCTCATACTGAGAGATAGTACCTATAGTATGTGACAGAATGCGATTGATAGTATATACAATAGTACGAAAAGTCTCTTTCCAAAACTATTCTAGACAAGAGGCTAAGATGAAGACGTACAACATCTAATATGGGTCAATGTTTACACTCCGCTTGACATTTTTGTTGGGAAGTTCCTAGACAAGAATAATGAATGATTGTACTGTTTTGAGAAATAATTTTAAGAATCTTTGTGTCTATATAGTCCATGGCATTATCAGTATGAAAACTCTTAATGTCTCAAAAAATTATGTTTTGATCATGGCAACAAAATCATGATTGATGTGAGCTAGTTTAGATTGATTTTTCATAAAATAAAGCTATGTATAACGAGAATGATTATCCACAAAAATCATAAAATAGCGAGATCCTCCTATAAAGGGAGTAGGAGATGGACCCCAAATGTTAGAATAAATTAAATCAAAGGAAGCATAAGAGACAAATTCACTAAGATCGAATGGTAAAGCATGACGTTTTCCCAACTTACATAACAAGCAATCAAAATGTGTGTTGTCAATAGAATCTAGATGACCACTAGAATTCATAGGACCTAATCTAGAAAAAGAAGTATGACCTAAATGAGAATGCCAAGTTTTAGATGATACTGTGGTGTCATAACTAGTAAGAGCATTCGAAAGCTTTAAGGAGATGGGCTCAAATAGGTGTCCCACTTGATGACCAGTCCTAATTATCTATCCTGTTTGTGGATCCTACACACGGTAACCATTGGAAGAAAAGTGAATGTCTAGACCAAGTTCACATAATTGTCCCACATATATCAAGTTTATGGAAAGTTTAGGAATCAAGAGTGTCAAGTAATAACACTAATAACACTGTAGACATTGAAATGTTTCTAGTATGACTCCCTATCATCTGTGAGTTACTAGCTTTATGAATAGTGGGTGTTTATGAAAGTAATGACTTTGACTTAAACAAATTGGAGTTTGAAGTCATGTGATTGCAACGGACATAATCAAATAACCATGAATCAGAAGTACTTGGAGTCACAAACAGAGAAGAAGTGCTAGGGACAGAGGAGCTAAAAGTACTAGATTCTCGAAGAATGAAATGTAGATCCTCTAAAGATAAAGTAATATATGATTTGTTAGAAGAACCCTCAATAGTAGCAGTAGTGTTGGATGAACGTGCAAGTGGACCTCTGTATCGGGATCGGTTTTTTGTCCCTATAAGTTGCCCACTTTGTCGTTGATATCAATTGGATGAAAGGTGACCAGTTCGGTGACAGTACATAAAATACAGTCTGCGTGATGAAGAAGAAGTAGGGTGGCAAGCATTACGTCTATAGGAGTGGACAAAATAGTTCTCCTTCAAAGTAGCAAGCCGAGTCTCTTCGGTTAATAATTTCGAGATAGATGCCTCAAGACAAGGTAACAGATCTCGATGTAGAAAAGAAGTTCGCATAGGTTCAAACTCATCATTAAGTGCCATCAGAAATTGCATAACACGCATACGATCATGATATTCAACAAACTTACGAGCATCGGTAGCCTCTTTCCATTGTGACTCAGATAAGGCTAGTTGATCCCAAACAGCATGCATAAAGGACAAAAAATCATTAATAGACTGACCTATCTCTTAATACATGCGATGCAGATTCTCTAATAGCTTATACTAAGGGCAATATCCGAGGTGGAATATCGGCTAGCAAGCAAATCCCATGAATCCTTTGCTGTATTGAGGCGACCAACTGAAGCTTGATAGATGGAATGAAAGTGTTTTGAAATCACGTTAAGATTTGATGATTCTTGCGGTCTCATTTCTTTAAACGTTCAATAAATTTTTCTCCAGTATCTACAGTAGTCCTAGTAGGCACACGAATTTCACTGGTGATATAACATTAAAGTCTACGACATCTCAGAAAACTAGACATTTCTTGAGCTCATAAAATATAACTTGATCCATTCAAAACTGTTTGAATGGGTACTGAAACATCCATTTTATCCATTGAATGCGCTTACTAGTTTAAAAGTAGCTGTTTTATAAGGAATACCAAGAAACTAGTGTTTGGAATGCAGATAAAGAGAAAATAACGCCAAAAATGGATACAGCACGTCAAAAATCCTTGGGAACCGATGGGTCAACTTCTAGTCAATGGTTAACGGAAGTCAACGGTTAATGATGACGTGGTAGATGGCGTCAGCAGTATCATATGGTGACGGATCGTGCTGGAGCTCTGGTCATGTGCAACGCATGTGGGCGTGAGGATCTCACGCGCAGAGGATGTTTGTGGCGCATGAGAGCGCGTTCGGTGTCCAACGTCGGCGGCGTTGGCTGGTTGAATTCGTCGGAAGACGAGGAACCTAGTGCTGGTATTCTTACATTCAAAATAACCAGAAAGGCATCAGGAAAGCACATTAAGGCGACGGGGCAGCGCATGTGGCAGCTTCCGGTGTCTGTTCGCTACGAAATTTTAGGATCTTATATGTCCGAGAGTGGCGAGTCCGATGGTAGTATTTGTTTTCTGAAACAACCAGCGAAAAAATCTCCAACAACAACCGAAGCTGCGGATTTGGCGTAGAAACGAGAGTAGCGCGGCTTCTGCAGCTGGCTCGTAATGATCATTGTGGAGAAACGCAATCTATGCAGCTAGCTTTGTTGATACTTAATTGAAAATAATGTGGAAAATAGATTTGAGGAATTTTCTATATATTTCTCTGTATCACGATGAAGAGTGATGAGCCTATTTATAGGCCTTACACAACTACTATCTAATGTAACAGAATATTACAATAATCAATCAGAAAGATTTCTAGAATATCCCAAATATTCAAAATATCTCTAACAGTATATTTCAGCAACCCTATTCCCATTAAAGAACATTTACCTTCTCTTCTCTTCTAGTTTAGAAGGGTCCTGATAATAAATCAATGATAAAAAAAAATGGTTAATTTGGTGTTGCTGCTTCATTTGGTTGGTAGAGGTGGATCTCTCTTTTTTTCAGTTGTTGCACAGGCCTTGCATTCTTCTCCGCATACTGCAATTTAAATACGTCCCGAGATGTCAAAACATTTTTCCAAAAAACAATATTATTCTTCAACCACGCATCAGTGAGTTATAAGTTATAACATCGTCCACGTATAAACTTAATTAAAATCAAATTTGGGTGCATGATGTCCGTACTTATTAGGCATGGTTGGAGGAGAAAACGACTCTTCCAGTCATATTATTTTGACTATTTCCATTGCTTAACCAAACCAGGTTCATTGCCGGGTCTAACCTAATTAGATTAACGAGGAGAATCGCCCCTTATTTTATTGATTATTTCTAATAATTTATCTATGACAGCCACAAGTTGGAGTTAGGTGAGCATAATTGATCATGAGATTCATGTAACCAAGAAATTAGTGTGCTTACATCATGAACAGCCTCTCCGAGCAACTTGATTTGGTCCTTTGATACAGTGCCTATCTGGTGGATTATAAAAAATGCAAGGGCTAATTAAGCTGAAACACTTGTTTGATATACCAGGTAAGAAATGTATATTTAAGAGTAAAAAGTGTGATAGTGAGCCTGTATAACCTTTTTGTTGATAGTCCATACGACACCTTCTGTGCAAGGAGGGACAGTGAGAGAGCCCATATATCTCAAGTAATTCTTGCCACCCATCTTGATCTCTCTTGGATCAATCGTACCCATCTTTCTCTCGCCCTCTTTGTCCATCATGGACCATATATTACCCATTAACTGAAACACCAATTCACCATACATCACTCACAATACGAGGCATCTGATTTTGTAAAGTAGTCCTAGTAAATTCAGTGTTTCTCTGGGAAAATCAAATTAATTACAACAGTAACTTATGATACAGAAATGTTTACCAAATAATACAAATATTCCATATTTTTTGAGATTTTATAGATGAAATGACATAATGAAGAGCACAAATATATTAAAGCATAAAGAGGCGATAACACACAGTAAGCACATGAAGAAGTTACCTTGGAAATGAAAGCATCTGATCGGCCAATATTGTAGAGGAGTCCAACAACAGCAATCTTGTTCTCAACGTTTGGGTCTGTGTTTACATGAACCATGTGCAGCTCCAATTCATACCTAAGTATGCGTACACAAAACAATTGTGAGATACACTGTACATGATGACGGATGCCGATGATGCTCAATGGAGATATGTAATGAATCCAGTATACATATTAAGATGAAGTTAGACTTTCGAATCTGGTTAGATTTACGTAGAATTCAAAATGAGACCCAACAATTTTAATGGTTCGAATTTATTTTATTGCATGTACAATGTTGATTGAGAGAGAGAGAGAGAGAGAGAGAGAGAGAGGACCTTCTGCCATTAATGGTATGCTCGGAAGGTGAATGCCAGTGACATTGTTGGAGAAAATATTGAGTGCCAGTAATTTTGATTGATCCAACACTGCCCACATCCCATTGAAGCTGCAGTTCACGACAACACATAATTAGCTGTCTAATCTTAAATGGATGTTTGGTTTGGCATTTGACTTTTGGCTTTTATTTTTAACTTTAAAAGATGGGACTCTCTTTTTTTCCCCCCTTTTTTGCATCAAGTATTCAAAGTCTCAGAAACATATAAACAATTGCTTTTAAGGTTATCCAAAATTTTCGTAAATTAAAGAATTACTTTTCTCGGTTTTAGCATGAAACTGTTCATATCCCCGATAGATGGCTTAAAGAAATTGGAACGCCACTCCAAACGGCACAATCGCGAAAAATAAATTATTACAATAATTTGAAAATTATTTTCCTAAAAATAATCCGATATATTACTTGGAAAAATTAGTCACTGAAAGATGTTTTCATTATTAACAACAATCAATGTGTAAGTAGTTTCGTAAACGATAAAAATATATTTGTTCATCCATTTTTCAAAGCAATAAAAGCTATCATTTTTAGGCTAATGTTTTTCAAATTATTTTTTTTCGCAAAACAAAAAGTAACTAAATTCTTCAATATTATTTTAAACAAGACTTAGATCATGATTTAAGCAAACTTAGATGTTCAAAGTGATGTTGCGGATCGAAATAACATATAGTGAAAACACTAATGTTTAGGGGCGTTTAACAAAGTTTCCCACGTGAAAACTCTTCATTGGGTTTTTGAACAAGTACTTCTTCCAATTTCAAATACTCATTTGAAGTCTACAAGAGCCGCACACTACTTATCTAGGGATATGTTCACTATTAGTCCTAAAACTTCTAAAGAAAGTACATTTGAGTCATAAAACCTGAAAAAAAGTGCAATCAAGTTTAAAAACTTGTGAAATTGGTTTAATCGAATCCTAAAGTTAACACCGTCCAATTTGGCTAATAGAAAATTCTAACGTGGCTTTTTTTTATTATCTTTCTATCCAACGTGGCGATGATGTGGCCTTTTTTTATTTTAATACTAATTTTATTTAAATTAATTTAAAAAATAAGCTAAATATTTATAAAAAAAAGGAGGAGTCGGGGGAGAACAGGTAGGAAGGGGTACAAGCCAGGGGCCAACGATCCTCGGTAACGGCAGGCGAGGGCTTGCAAGCCCTCGTCCAAGTCTGGGCAAGGGGTCGCGGCCCTCCCCTAGACCGGGCGAGGGTTGCTCGTGCTCGCCCAGACCTGGTTGAGTGCTTGCAAGCCCTCGCTTGCCGTCCCCCATCCTTGCCGACCCCTCTCGGCGATGGTGTGGTGGCGGCGACGAGGGCTTGCAGCGGTTCTCACATATCCTTCTCTGTGTTTTTTTTAAAATACTTAGCTTATTGTTTTATTTATTTTAAATAAAATTAGTATTAAGAATCAAATTTGGGTCAAAATGATGTCATTTTAGTCTTATGTTTCGTAATTTAGCCACGTCATCATCACATAAGAGAGAGAAAATATTAAAATAAACCACGTTAGCGCCACGTTAGCAATTTCTGTTAATAAGTTAGACAGTGTTATCTTTAGAACTCGATTGAACCAATTTGACAAATTTTAAGACTTGATTGGACTTTTTACAAGTTTTAGGACTCAAAAGTACTTTCGTGAGAAGTTTTAGGACTTCTAGTGAACATATCCCTTAAATCTAATTTTTGTTAGATAGAATCCAGCATAACCTTGTTTTTACATTTAATTTAAAATCAGACTTTGGCTTCTCATTGAATATCCAAAATTTTGAAAAAATATGCTTATAATTAGTAATATCCAAGAGATTAATTTATATTTTTCAAACGAGGATGATATACCTATTCTGGGTGGAAAATTAAAAAGAAAAGGGCTATTTTGGTTTAGTTATAGCCAGGCTAAACAGCTTTGAACAAAAGAATCTAACTGCTTATATTGACTTAAAAACAATCTAAACACACAGAGAGGCCATTAGCCACATAAAAGGTCTTGCTTTTCCTAATAAATCATCTTTTTTTGTAATGTCCTCTAACCCTAGTAAATATATCGGACACAGAAGGAGAACAAATTAGATGTAAATAGAACTTACAGAAATGTCGTGGCCCCTGTTCTTGAGAGTCGCATTGCTGGGCTTGTAGCTCCTCTGTATATCCCCTAGCTTGGGAATCACCTTCACTCTCCGGCTTGTCAGGTCAATCGGCGACTGCATTTCGCCTTTCTTGCACGCTTCCCACTCTTTCCTCAGCTCTCCCCAGTGCATCGGCCCCTTCTCGCTCCCGGCTATGTAATCGAACTCTCTCTCATCCTCTTCACGTGCCACAGTTGATACACATCACCACACAATATATTAGATCGTCGAGTTTCGTTTAGAACCGTGTAAGAAAAGATCTTTTCCTTCGGGCATCTGATCGGTAGGCTACGAATAAGGATATCACCCACATATAAGCTTTACGAATTAATGTAAATGTGGTTGATATCCATATTTGTAACTCCCAGTACAAGAAACCCGGTTTTCTACGATCGAAAATTGAGGAAAATGTAGCAAAAACAAAGTTTTACACAAGTAGTATAGAATTTACAATATGTGTCATCTGCAGCAACCTTTCGAATCTGTATTGACACAAGTCAAGGATCTAATGCAGTATATATAAACCTCTTTTTTGTTTTCCTTTTATTGGTATCACAGCAAATATAAATCCTTACTGGATAACATCGTAGCAAAAAATGAAATGAAATGGGAAGGTGGGGCATTACCAACTTCTCCGGGCATGGATGATGTTGCAGCGCTCCACGGTGCAAGAAGAAAGAATAGGGAAAAAGCAGAAAAGAGGATGGTGTTGCTTTGGTTCTTCATGTCGATTTTTACAGCGATGCGACGGATGTTTCAACGAAAGAACAAATGGGTCTTGAGGTAAGAGGGAAGAGGGAAGGGTGGTTCTTGAGCTGCATAAGCGTGCACTGAGGTTTGGTTTGTAGGAGGCAGTTTTGGTGAGAAAAAGCCAGAGACTCACTGTCTCTTGCAAGTGTGAAGAAGACAATCTGGCAATGCGTTGGGAAGCTCATTAGATTGGTTGCGGCGGAGCAAGAAACATCGTCACACCTTCGACAGGCTCATACGAAGTGTGAACGCATGTTAAACAGGGCGGTGACGAGATGGGTTCGAAGTTGTGGACTCCAACTAATAGGAATAATCGATGGTTTTATCAATTAATTGTTGGCATCAATTGTTTTAGAGAGTGATAACCGAGTAGAAGGCCGTACGAACGCGCTTGATAAGCTTGCCTATGCAAAGACGTGGCGTGGTTTTTGTATGTTGCGTTGCGTCTCACGGTGTCCTTTTCTTTTTGTTTGTTTTTGGGTTAATCCCAAGAAGAATTTCAAATTAGTACATATATGACGAATTTACCCTAAATTAATTTTTTGACAACAAAAAATTTCATATTAGTACATCTGTGGTAAATTTACCCCAAATTAATTTTTTGACCACCAAAAACTTCAAACTGATACATTTGTGACAAATTTACCATCCGTTAGTTTCCGTTAAATTGGATTAATACCACGAAAAATCACAAACTGGCAAACGAATGGTGCACCTATCAACTGTCAATTTGACTGTATAATTTAACGAAAATTAATGGAGAGTAAATTAGTCACAAATATACCAGTTTAGAATTTTTTATCTTCGAAAAATTAATTTCAAATAAATTTATCACATATTTATAAAATTTAAAATTTTTCATGATATTAACATTTTATTTTTTGTCTTTTGTTGCGTAGCGGTGGTGTCACGTACAGATTTGGTACTCAAATATTTTCTCAAGGAGGTGGAGAAATTTGACTTTGCGACTCCCTTTTTTACCGACCCCGTACGAAATAAAATAAATAAGTATCGCAAATCAAGGAACTTTGTCTTGCAATTTTCACTTGCACGTGACTTTCTCGTACAGCTTAGTTGACGAGAAAATCCAAAGTTGTTTTCTTCATGTTGGTCAGCTGAGGCCACTAACATACACCATGGTGGCTCTCTTCAAGAGCCTACTTGGCTCACACGCATCGAATGCATCTAATAATTTTTCTTCTTCTTCTTCCGGTAAGCTCTTCGGTCATATCTTACGAATTTGATATCAATTTTAAGGAGTGAATCTATAATTCTAGAAAGCACTTTACCTGTCGGAACTTTCACCAATAGATTGAAATGTAACATATTTATAGCCATTCGATGATTGTGACCTGAACAGGTAAGATTTGTTACTTTTCAATCTAACGGTGATAATTCTCAAAGAGGCAATATATCTTTTGGAGACCGTAGAATCATCCTGGTATCCGTATATCAATTTAACTAGACAAATAATATTTAATACTGAAAGGGATGTATCAAAAGTTGACTGAATGTCTTATCGTCGTCGTGCCATGCTTTTACAACTCGTCTCCTTTTGGGTTCGTGCATAACTAGCGGGGCATCCTGTGCTGGCACAAGAATATATTGAATGTCGTATCAGAGATAGGCATTCTGTAGCTATCAATTGTACCTACCCATCATGTCTATTATATATAAAGCAAAGGGACAAGTGCATTAGAAGTTTTAAAACTTATCGTGAAAGTGCAATTGAGTCTTAAAACTTTAAAAAAATACAATCAAATCCTAAAATTTATCACAAAAGTGCAATTGAGTCCTAAAACTTTCAAAAAGTGCAATCAAGTCATAAAACTTGTCAAATTGGTTCAATCAAGTCCTTCCATTGATTACACTTTTTGAAAATTTTAGGACTCGATTGCACTCTCGTGACAAGTTTTAGGACTTGATTGTACTTTTTAAAAATTTTATGACTTAATTACACTTTTGAGACAAGTTTTAGGACTTGATTGCACTTTCTAAAAGTTTTAAGACTCAATTGTACTTTCGTTACAAGTTTTAGGATTTCCAGTGCATTTATCTCTAAACCAGACTTTCGAATTTGGATATCTACCTGAATTTACAAGAACATCTTCACATCTATAATCAACTCTCAGTAAGTATTTAAGGATTAATATAGCCTTTTACTATTTTACGGTTATACTTAAAATCTAAATATTTAGGTTATCCTTCACAAAAAGTTGAGAAAAATAGGAGATAAAACGAAGAGGGAATAATTATATAAGTTAATATCATGAAAACCCCAAATTAGTATACTTGTGACAATTTACCCTCTATTAGTTTCCGTTAAATTTTACCGTCAAATTTCTGAGTTAAATGACATATGACAGTTGACAGGTGTACCAGTTTGGGGTTTTACTCTCCATTTGTCACAGATGTACCAGTTTGTGATTTTTCGTGGTATTAATCCAATTTAATGGAGGGTAAATTTGTCACAAATGTACCAGTTTGGGGTTTTTGGTGGTCAAAAAATTAATTTAGGGTAAATTTGTCATAGGTGTACCAATTTGGGGTTTTTCATGGTATTAACCCAAAAAGTTATAAAAATTGTCCACATCAGTGTCAGCTGTACCACACAAGACGACTGATATTCACGTCAGCAATTTCCAACTAAAATTGGCTGGAATGATTACATTGACAAATTGTCAAAAGGTTTAGGACTAATATTGGCCAATTTGAAAGGTTTATAATTGAATTGACATTCGTACAATAGGTTTATGACTTTTTTGGTAATTATGTTGCGAGGTGGGACCACTTAATAAGATATATTTTTTTCTTTTTTCCTTATTTTCCTTTGCTTGTCCGTGGCCTCGGTGGAGGTCACTAGCCACAAGTGAAGGCCAACGCCATCGCTAGATCTGGACGGGTCAGACAAGCCCGAATTTGACAAGGTTGTCACAACCCTCGTTGGCTCTGGGAGAGGGACCACGAGCCCTTGATGTGGCTGGTGAGGGCTTTGTGCGAGGGCTGCGACGCTCTCATTGGCAAAGTCAAACAAAAAAGAAACCAAAAAAAAATAAGGAAAAAAAACAAAAAAAAAAGAAAAAAATTAGAAAAAATATTTAAAAATTGAAACAATTGTCTACGTCGGCATGACCGGCATCCATGTCAGCTATTTCTAGCCAAAATTGGTTTAAAGGACAATATCGGCAAATTGTTAAATAGTTTGGACTAAATTCGCCATATTAAAAAGTTTAGGATTAAATTAATATCCATACAATAGGTTTATAACTTTTTTGATAATTTTCCCCCAACTTGCGAAAGAGGAAAAAGAATTGTTATCAACTTGCATTGTGCAACAACCCACTTAATCTATTTAAGTAAATAAGTGCCAACCTTTTTTTATTCGCATGCTTGTAGGCGTGCACTGCCTCTAGCATTGCTATAAAAATAAAATTTTGTTGCTGTTAATTTGTTTGAATATGGTTAAATTGGGTTTACGTTCTGCCTACATATACACCTTGTGGAACCTTCTTTCTTCAACAAAAACTTTTAATTTTCTATATTATGTAAATGTACACATGTGGAGGATAAATTTGAGTGAAGCTTATCATGAGTAGCTCTCGCTCAATCCTATGGTTACTTGAGGTCGAGTCAAACTTACTCAAACAACTAGTCTAGTCATCTTTGAGCTTTACTCGACCATCTAATCAAGTCAAGTTGGAGCTCGCTAATACTCACATCAATAGGCTTAAGAGCCTAATCGAGTTTTTTATTCTTTTTTTCAAAAGAAAAACATTTAAGAAGTACAAAAGAAATCGACACAAACATCTTTAAAATTACATGCCATGACCAAATGGTCGGGCTCGAGTTCATTTATACTTGATTATAGGGTAGCCAAGCCGAATCCAGCTATTTTTATCGGGTTATATTTTTATCCAATTTTTTTTTTGTAAAACCCTTCTGTGTGGTAGTGCGAAATCTCTGTTTTATTGTTAATGAATGTTCTGTTTAATACTTAATGTTTCATATTTATATAATTGATTTTATGTGAACTATTTAATTTGATGATGATAAATTTAGTTTTCTTTTAAAGGAATGTTATAATTGATTCCGTTAACTTGATTAAAGGAATTTTTTATCAGCTTGTTGTTCGTAGTGTTAGTTTTTTTATTAGGTCGAATCGTAGTGTTAGTTGTAATTTGACATTTGGTGGACCATTGTCAATTGTTCAAAAAATTTAAATTATTAGATAAATGCATGGTTCATTATTTAAATATTCTAACATCCCCCCTCAATCATAGGCTAGACTTTGGCCTTAGCCTAAAGCAAGGAAATATTCAATTAGGAAGGCAAATAGGGCCTAAAAGGATTCGAACTCAAGACCTCTTAACTCTGATATTATGTGAGATTGGGTGGGACTATTGCAAACTATTCTAAAAACTTAAGCTATTAGATGAAGGTATGGTTTATTATTAAATATTCTAATAAATACCAGTGTTATTTTCATCTCAATTTTTCCATTTGAGCATCCATGTGTGTGTAACTTTCAAGTTCTTTTAGTTCTAGCGAAGTTTTTATTCTCAGCAGTTTTGTTTCTGGTGTTTGCAAATAGTTTTCCCTTGAGTTAAGTGTTCTTCGCTTCAATTCTCTTCCAATTTCCTTCATTTCAACAACTCCTTATTTCTTTTAATTTTAAATCCTCGCAACCAAAGTAGCGCTTTTCATGAATGTCTTTGGTCGCAGGAGTTGACATGCCTATTCACATAGGGTGAACAACTGGGCCGCTTCAACACTAGAAGAACTGAATCGATTGGCCTTACCCCACCGATTTCAAGAAGAATCGATTCGGGTCTTGGTTACCATAGAACTATCTTGTAACCGGTTTTGTTCCCGGTTCTTATGTCAAAACCACCAATTCAGCTTGTTGACCAATTAGACCGATTCCAAGGTCAAACGATTTAGAACTAATCTTAAACACCTTATTAAATAAAAAGAGAGAGAGACGCAACCAAGGATAATGGAATTCACGACCTCCAGGTTAAAATAGGCGCATAAGACCACTTAACAAATAAGATTTCAATTGTCATAGGCTACAAAAATAATATATAACATCAATTATTTGATTTTTACAAGATAAACCCGGTTCTCGGATAGAATCAAAAACTGGCCTTCGGTTCCAATCCTATTCCAAGTATAATTGGTTTGGTTCTTGGAATGGGATTCAGGACCTTTAGCTTGTGTTCCAAGTTCCAATGTAGGATCTCTCTCTCTCTCTCTCTCTCTCTCTCTCTCTCTCTCTCTCTCTCTCTCTCTCCCTCTCTTCCTGGACAAGAACAATGAATGATAGTGCCGTTTTGAGAAATAATTCTAAGAAACTCTGTGTCTTTATATTCCATGGCATTATCAATACAAGAAATCTTAATGTCTCGAGAAAATTGTGTTTTGATCATGGCAACAAAATCACGATAGATGTAACTAGTTTAGATCGATTTTTCATAAGATAAAGTCATGTATAACGAGTATGATCATCCTCAAAAATCACAAAATAGCGAGATCCTCCAATAGTAGGAGTAGGAGATAGGCCCCAAATGTCAGAATGAATTAAATCAAAAGAAGCATAAGATACAAATTTATTAAGATCAAATGGTAAAGCATGATGTTTTCCCAACTTACATGGCAAGCAATCAAAATTTTTGTTGTCAACAAAGTCTAGATGACCACTAGAATTTAGAGGACCTAATCTAGAAAAAGAAGCATGACCCAAACGGGAATGCCAAGTTTCAGATGAGACTATGGTAGCACAACTAGTAAGAGCATTCGGAAGCTTTAAGGAGACAAGCTCAAATAGGCATCCCACTTTATGGCTTGTCCCAATTATATGTCATCGTTTGTGGATCCTACACACGACAACCATTAGAAGAAAAGTGAATGTCAAGACATAGTTCATATAATTGTCCCACGTATATCAAGTTTAAGAAGCGTTTAGGAACCAAGAAAGTGTTAGGTAATGACAGTGTAGACATTGAAATTTTTCTAGTATGACTATCTGTCATCTGTGAGCTATCAGCTTTATGAATAGTAGGTGTTTGTGAAAGTAAAGACTTTGACTTAAACAAATTGGAGTTAGAAATGATGTGATTGGAACAGACAAAATCAAAGAACCATGAATCAAAAGTACTTAGAGCCACAGACACAGCATAAGTGCTAAGGACAAAGCAGCTAAAAGTACCAAATTCTTGAATAATGGAAAGTAGTTCCTTTAAAGATAAAGTAATTGATGAGTTGTTAGGAGAACCCTCAATAGTATCAGTAGTGGTGAATAAGCATGCAAGTGGACCTCTATATCGGGATTGGTTGTTTGTCCCTATAGGTTGCCTACTTTGTCATTGATATCTATTGGATAAAAGGTGACCAGTTCAGTGACAGTATGTACAATATAGTCCGTGTGATAAAGAAGAAGCTGGGGTGGCAAGCATTGCATCTATATGAGTGGACAAAATAGGGCGATGGACCTTCATGGTAGCGCGCCGAATCTACTCACTCAACAATTTTGAGACAGCTGCCTCAAGATGAGGTAATGGATCTCGATATAGAAGTGAAGCTCGCACAGGTTTAAACGCATACGATCACGATATTCAGCAAACTTATGAGCATTGGTAGCTGCTTTCCATTGCAACTTAGATAAGGCTAGTTGATCCCAAATAACATGTATAGAGGACAAAAAATCATTAATAGATTGACCTGTCTCCTAATACATGGGATGCATTTCCCTATTAGCTTATACAAAGGGCAATATCTGAGGTGGAATATCGGTTGGCAAGCAAATTCCATGAATCCTTTGCTGTATTGAGGCGACCAAACTTGATAGATGGAATCGAAGTGTTTCAAAACCACGTTAAGATTTGATGATTCTTGTTGTCCCATTCCTCTAAATGTTCAATAAATTTTTCTCCAATTTCTTCAGTAGTCCTAGTATGACGTAACACTAAAGTCTATGTCCTCTTAGAAATCTAGACATTTCTTGAGCCCATAAAATATAACTTGATCCGTTCAAAACTGTATGAATGGGTACTGGAACATCCATTTTATCCATTAAATGCACTTACTAGTTTAAAAGTGGGTGCTTGTATTAGGAATACCATGAAACTAGCGTTTGGAGTGTAGATATTAAGAAAATAATGTCAAAAATGGATACAGCACGTCAAAATTCCTAAAAAACTGATCGGCCAACTTCTAGTCAACGGTCAACGGAAGCCAATGGTCAATGATGACGCGGTAGATGACTTCAGTTGTAACTAGGGGTGTCAATAAAGCCCGACCCAACCCATACCGGACCGGCCCAACCCGACCTGGCCCGGAAATTTAGGGCTTTCTCGGGGCGGGCCTCCTTTGGATTAGGTAAGAGCCTAAATTTCATATATTATTCATTTTTCGGGCCGGGCCGGTCTGGGTCGGGCTTTTTTTACGGCCGGCCCGGGACTTAAAAAAACCCTAGATATCAACTCCTTCGTCTCTTTCGTCTTCAAGCTTCCGCTCACCCCTCGCAAAGCGTAGCGCATGGAATCAGAGTCGCTCATGGAATCAGGTCCTTCCTCATCATGACTACATTGCAAGTAGGATTGCGACGAACCAATTCATCTCGCCAGAAGCCTGTCTGCACATGGAATCAGAGTCGCTCTTAGCTCTAGCTGCACCACAGATGCTGAGAAGATTCAATCTGAGCCACCGAGCCGGAATGCACCTCATATGTCGGTGAAATCGCCCCAACAGCAAACTTCCAGTATCACTCCTTCATTTATCTTCAATCGAGGAACTCCCGGATGAATGCCTCTTTGAGATCTTCAGACGGCTTCCCAGCTGTAGAGAAAGGAGCTCCTGTGTCTGTGTTAAGATCTTCGAGCTGTTGAGCCTTGGTGTGAGGTAGAGTAGACTGCCTGTCTTTGCTTGTCGCTTTCGCCAGTCTCGTTTTGGTCTTTGCTCGGTGTTCTGTTTCAATCTGGTGAAATTCTGAGTAGCCTTTTGTCTTTCTTGGTTCAATTCTTCCATGTTCTTCTTGGTTCTTTCTGTTCCAATCTCGTGCTGGATTGTGTTTATGATGTCGAAAGTAGCTTTTCGTCTTTCCAATCTGTGATCATACGTCGTAGGATGAATAGGAGGGTGTGAAATTTGGGTATATTTCTGTTGGGTTGAATTGGATCTTGAGAAGTAACCATGAAATTGAGAAATCCATCTGGTGGGGCCTTTTTGCTTTGCTAGCAACTGATGGTGTGTCATTTAACTTGGGTCAAGTATAGCGGATTTGGTCACTTGTGATCAAGATTTTTGCACTTCCACGTACCATACCCTCCTTCCTGATTATACTTTTCGGTTCTAAGACTGTTCAGATGGATTTATTGAACAATAAAAACGAGATGGTCCCAAGTAGCTACTTAATACACAAGCCATCTTTTCAGTCAAGACTACTTTAGAAGGATTTATTCCACAATAAAATTACTGAGATGGTACCCAAGTTGTAACTTGACGATGCTTACTCAATTGTTCAGGTTTGTACTGGACTTCAATCCCGTCTTCAGGAATACAAATCGGAAAACCAACAGCTCGAGGAACTTCTTACTTCGGAGGTAAACTTTAAGTTGCTGTGGAGCAATTCTTCCTTTAGGTTGCAATGATGTTGAGCAACTAATGTGGAAACTTAACTTAATGTCCAATTAGCATGGAAGGGCATGTTTTTGTGTTATGTCCCTGAATTGCTGATATACTATATATGTCGTCTCGTTAATGACTGATAAAAGAAAGTTTTTTGATGTGTGACCAAGTTTCGATTTTTCATATCTTGGACTGAACTGAAAATTTAACTTCTGATGTCACGGAATTTATAAAGAATTTACATCATGTTTGTGCATCTTTAAGATGTCAGTTCATGTGATGTAAATCATTCTGTTATTGGTCAGTTATGTCCAAGTCATTCTAATGGCGGAAAATGCTAGGTGCCAAAGTATACTTGTATTCTTTAAGGCGAAGAAGAAATAAATATGAAAGTTCTTAACAGGTGAAGAGATTGAAATTAACAGGAAACAAGTTGAAACTGACTTATTTTATAGAGTGCAAAGCGATGAGACCGGGGTGATAATCTATGAACATGTCCTAGATTGAAACTTGCAGCTCTGTCCAGCTAGACCATGAAAATATATATATTCAAGTGTTTGACATTAAATGCTTATTTTGTCAGTCAAAGGTGTTGTAAAACCATGAATCTTTTTTGTTATTCCATTGATTGCTGTCAACAGTTTTTTAATGGAGTTGACACCTCACAAGCACAAGCTTTATTCTTACGTATCTTACTAGTTTCATTCCTAAAACCAATAAAACAAATATAGTTCATTGACTAGTTACTGTAGCAGGGCATTGTCACAGTTGACATCCCACATCAATAAGCATCCCTTTTAATCTTGAACTTGATTCTTATATTTGACATCCCACTTTGATAAGCATCTCTTATATTGAGCTTTTCTAGCAAGATGGCTCATCATTGTTTTGGCTTCATCTTCGTGAATCGACAATGCTCTGGTGGGATCTGATGAAATTTAGGCACTCTATTTTTCACAGCATGTTTTTAGTCAAAGTAGCTGTTGCCATATTTCTTTGCCTTTGATGGGTTATGGAACTTAGGATCTAGATGCCATTTCTCAGTTGTCTTGGTTGGTATCTGCTGGTATATATGATCTGTCCTTACTGCAATTACATACACATGAATTTTGCACAATGTGAAATGATCGGCTTGCAATCTCTCATTTTTTTGCAAAATTTTAGCAATCATCAGTAAAGTTTAATATGTGGTGAAGGAGTATTATAGGTCTGCTGTGGTCATTCTTTTTTTGTTGAAATGTTGTTTGGAGTGCAACATAGCTTTATATGTTTCTTTGCTGCTCCATGGTGTGGCTGCGATTATTTGCATTATGCGCCTTGTGTTGATTGTGGTCCGTCAATTTGAATCTTAATCTTGGTTCACTGATGCATCAAGTCTTTTATACACTGGAGCATGGCTGACTTGTGAATATTATCTGAGACTTTAATTGTTTTTACTCTTTCTCTTACTAGGTGAATATGGAATCTATCATGAGAAATTGAGAATTGACTGAGACGAGGATGATGCAAGTAAGTTGGCCCTCTTGCTTCTTGCCTTTTCTACTTGGAACCGAAAAGTATAATTAGTCATGGGATGTCTTGTGCTGATTGAGAGCATGGGCGAGTTTTTATTGCTTTGATCAAGTATAGCATACTTGCTTTGATAAATGGAAGGATTACAAGATGTCTGAAACGAGTTCTACAAGTATCACAGAAAGAAGGACAAGATCTATAGTGTGGGAACACTTTAAACGGATTCTTGATCAAGATAAGGCTGAATGTTTATACTGTGCGGCCCAAATTCGTTGTGCTAGTAATCACGGGACTAGTTCGATGCATCATCATTTAGGTAGATGCAAGGAATACCCATATGCAAATGTTGAGAAAAGGCAAAAAAGTGCCTCGGATCAACTTCTTGGGGTCGGTAGTTTATTGGGTCCATGGAAATTTGATCAAGATGTTAGTCAAAAAGACCTAGCAAAAATGTTTATTATTGGTGAATTGCCTTTTAAGTTCGTAGAAAATGAGGGATTTCGGCTATTCGTGAATAGAATCCAGCCAAAGTTTCTAATCCCGTGTCGGAACACATTGAGGCATGATTGTTACAAGTTATACATGGAGGAAAGAAGTAAATTGAAGAAATATTTCTTGGAGACATCTCCAAGAGTGTGTCTTACGACCGACACATGGACTTCTTGTCAAAATTTGAGCTATATGTGTCTTACTGCTCATTTTGTTGATGCCGATTGGAAGTTGCACAAGAAAATATTGAATTTTTGTCAAATCTCGGGTCATTCTGCTGAGATAATAGGAAAAGCGGTTGAGAAATGCTTGACTGATTGGGGGATTCAAAGCGTTTTTTCTATCACCATGGATAATGCAAGCTCAAATGACTTAGGAATTCAATATTTGAAGAAAAGACTTAACTCTCGGAATTCTCTAGTATTGAGAGGTGAGTTACTCCACGTGAGGTGTTGTGCTCACATATTGAGTTTGATTGTGAGAGAGGGGTTGAAAGACATAAATGATTCAATTGTTCGAATATGTTCGGCTGTGCGTTATGTGAGGTCTTCTCCTGCGAGGTTGAGATGGTTTAAGAGTTGTATTGATATCGAGTCCAAGAGTCTTGTATGTTTGGATGTGGAGACTCGTTGGAACTCGACATATATGATGTTGGAAGCAGCTTTGAAGTTTCAAACAGCATTTGGCTTATTGGAATTTCAAGATAGCAAATATGTTGAAGAGCTTTCCAAGACAAAAGGGTTGCCCACTAGTGATGATTGGGAGTATGCCCGTCACTTTCTTCCTTTGCTGAAGTTGTTCTTTGATACGACTTTAAAAGTTTCGAGTTCTTCTTATGTCACCAGTAATGATATGGCGAAGGATGTGTATGGGATTCATGGAATCATTGATGCATATTGTGAGAATGAGGATCAAAGTGTGCAGGAAATGGCTAAGAGAATGAAAACCAAATTCAATAAATATTTTGGCAATGTGAACAACATCAATCTTACTTTGTTCATTGCTTGCATACTTGACCCGCGACATAAGTGGGAATATGTGAAGTGGATGATTAATGATGTTTATGAAAGGAAGGAGGCGGAAACTTTACGAGATAAAGTAAAAACATCTCTGACGTCATTGTTCGAGCAATATCGCACTGGTGTGTGCCCCCAAAGCAACTTGAGGCTAAAGAGCACAAGGACGATAAGCATATCAAAGTCTCCTGTGGTTGGTGCTGATTTTATGACTGCAAAGTATCTTAGCCAAACTGGACAACAATATTTGGAAAAAAAATCAGAATTGGACAAATATTTGGAGGAAGGATGTGAACGTTATAACCCAAACTTTGATATCTTAAGTTGGTGAAAAGTAAATTCTTCAATTTATCCTATCCTTTCTTCCATTGCTCGAGACATCTTGGCCGTGCCCGTCTCGATTGTAGCATCAGAGGCCGCATTCAGCACAGGAGGTCGTGTGCTTGATGTATTCCGTAGCTCTTTGACCCCAAGCATGGTGGAGGCTCTTATATGTGCTCAAGATTGGTTACGATCTAAGCCACTTTCACGTTCGATTGAGGGGGACTTAGAAGAACTTGAAATCTTTGAGTCAGGTAAAAAAATATGGTTGTGGAATTTTGTACCCTTTTATACTTCGATGGATACATTAATTCTCATTTTCATCATAAATTTAATGCAGAGTTGCCAACTACAACCATGGAGCCAAACTCTATTTCTCTAGACGATTGATGAAGTTGGAGATTGGTACTTGTTAAAAATGAAATCTTCTGCTTGTACAGTTTATCATATACTCTTTGAACTATTTTGCCAATCCATGTTCTGAAATGGCTGTTTGATTGTATGCAGAAAGAAACTCCCTTGGGTCTCGCTACACAATCTGCTCATCCAGGGAAGACCTCACCTCATTTGATGTTTTATTTGCTTTTCTTGAGATAGGTATTTGGTTGTTATATTTGTTGGTCCTGGTGGGATTATTGCACTGGACCGAGATGGTTTTTGATAGAATGTAAGGCTGTTACAGTTTTTTAAGTAATCTTCTTTCTCTACCACTGTTAAAGAACATTTTATTGCCCTTGTGGGAATAGTTGGATTTCCATTTGTTATCTATCCATACATTCTTCTCGTGTGTGGGCTCTGTTGAATCCTGTCTTCATAGTCCATCTTGGCAAAGCTAAAAAGTCTAATGGCAATGATGAGCTTTGAATGCTAATGGACTTAGATCAAATGTCGCTCTTAACTATCCTGCGCTTCCTTCCTCCAATGGAGCTGCAGTTCAGTGGAGATGAAACATATATGTTTCAACCACCTGGTGTTCTTAGTCTATATAATTTGAATCAAGCCTTACATATTGCAGCTAATTGTTTGCTGCAGAATATCTTTAATAAGGTTTCTACAGCATAGGGTGTTTTTGTTTATTTATTTATGTTTCGATCATGTTCTTTCTGCAGCTCGCTTCTCGCCTAATGACAAATACTCAAGGCAAAGAGTTCTTCTAAAGAAGCGATTTGGATTGTTGCCGACCCAACAACCGCCTCAGAAATACTAAATGGGGGATATCGCATAGGTGTTCTTTTCCTGCGAAACTAAGATTGCATGTAATAGATTTGGTTTCTCAGCATATGTCTCTATTTGGTCTTAGGTCTTTGTTTGTGACACGTTGACAGGCGCAATTGTAAACCACTTTTTGGATAACAGGATCAATTTTTACCTTATACAGCCAACTTGACAAAGATTATAAGCAGCTTGCAATTTTTACTATGGCTATTCAGGGTTCACACCCACTTTGTACTGGTTTATACGTTTACCCACACAAAAAAAAAAACCCGGCCCGACCCGACCCGACCCGGATTTTCGCTTTGGGTTCTATGGGTTTTGGGCCGGGCCAGGTCAGAAAGAGCATGTGCCCCTTGTGATTTGGGTCGGGTCGGGTATCATAGAAACCCGACCCGACCCGACCCATTGACACCCCTAGTTATAACGTATGATGACATCAGCAATGATCGCACCGGAGCTCTGGTCACGTGCAACACATGTGGACGCATGAATCTCACACGCAGAGGATGTTGCCAGCGCATGAGGGCGTGTTCGGCATTGAACGGTGGCAGCATTGGCTAGTTGGACTCGTCGGAAGATGAGGAACCTAGTGGTGGTATCTTACATTCAGAATAACCAACTAAAGGCATAGAAAAAGCACATAGAGGCGACGGGCTCCGGTGGTTAGAGACAGGGCGGCATGTGTGGCGGCTTCTGTTTTCCATTTACTATGAAATTTTAGGATCTTATACATCTTAGGGTGGCAATTCTAGAGGTAGTGTTCTCGAGAAGCAATTGAAGCTATAGATTTGGCGGAGAAATGAGAGCAACGGCGGCCCGTGCGGCTGGCTTGTAACTATCATTGTGGAGAAACGCCTCCTATGCTATTGGCATTGTTAGAAACAAACTTGATGGCACTTCCTTGTAAATGATGGCTTTGATACTAAGTTGAAAATTATACGGAAAATAGACTTGAGGAATTTTCTATATATTTCACTATGTAATAATGAAAAGTACATGAGCCTATTTATAGGCTCTGCAGGACGATTATCTAAAGTAACATAATATTATAATAATCAATAACAAAGATATCTAGAATATCCCAAATTTTCTAAATATCTATAAGAGTAGATTTCATCAACCCTAATGCCGTTAAAGAACATCGACCTTTTCTTCTCTTCTAGTTTACAAGGGTCCTGATAATAAATCAATGATTAAATAAAATGATTAATTTGGTGTTGCTCCTTCATTTGGTTGGTAGAGGTGGATCTCTCTTTTATTCAGTTGTTGCACGGGCCTTGCGTTCTTCTCCGCATACTGCAATATGAATTCGTCATGAGAAGTCAATACATTTCTCCCAAAAAACAATATTGTTCTCCAACCACGCATTAGTGAGTCACAAGTTATAACATCATCCACGTATAAGCTTTAACTAGAATTAAATGTCGTGATGTCTGTACTTATTAGGCATGACTGGAGGACAAAACAACTCTTTCAGTTATATTATTTTGACTATTTATATTTCTTAAAAAAACCAGGTTCAGTGCCATGTCTAACCTAGCCAGATTAACTAGGATAATTGCCCCTTATTTTTATTGATTATTTCTAAAAATTTGTGAATACTAATTGCCCGCCTGGTCTGTCACTTGCAATACCTATGACAGTCACAAGTTAGAGTTAGGACAGCACCATCGATCATGAGATTCATGTAACCAAGAAATTAGTGTGCTTACATCATGAACAGCCTCTCTGAGCAACTTGCTTTGGTCCTTTGATACAGTGCCTATCTGTTGGATTATCAAATGCAAGGGTTAATTAAGCTCAAACACTTGTTTGATAAACCCGGTAAGAAACACATATTTAAGAATAAAAAGTGTGATAGTGGGCCTGTGTGACCTTTTTGTTGATAGTCCATATGACACCTTCTGTGCAAGGAGGGACAGTGAGAGAGCCCATGTATCTCAAGTAATTCTTGCCACCCATCTTGATCTCTCTTGGATCAATCATACCCATCTTTCTCTCACCCTCTTTGTCCATC